ACTTTTTTAGTTAAATTATATTAAATTAGCATATACTTTATTGTTTTTTTTTTAAATTACAATATACTTTTAATTATTATAATTTTATGATATAAGATAATTGATTATTTTAATTAAAAGTATGAGGTAGGATCATAGTTATTAAAATCGGACCGACCCGACTGATTTTCATAAAAAACCGGTGACCCGGTCGGTTAACCAGTGACTCGGCCCAGTCCAAAAAAAAATTTCAAAATTTTTTTTTCCAAAAAAAATCATAATGGACATATTTGAATATTTTTTTTATTGACTTACATAAGCTACCAACACTAATATTATCTCAATTATGTACTATGCAGAAAATTTTGAATTAATTTATAGTTAGACATATACCTTTCTGAATCTAAAGCCCCATATCGCGATCATTATATTTTTGTTTGATCTTTTATTGGATGATAATATGTGATTTATTAATTCTTATATCAAAATATTTGAAATTTTTATATTTTTAGATATTTGAGTATGTTTCTAATTTTTTAATATAAATTATAAAATTATATATAATTACCGGGTCATGCGATTGAACCAGTGACCCAGTATCTCGACCGGGTCAATGACTGGGTCGATTTTAATAACATTGGGTAGGATATTGTAACCACTAATTAGGGTTACTATCATGTTACTAATAATCAATATAGGAAATCATAATTATAACACCTCACAATTTTAAATCAAGAAATTAAAATATTAAGTGAGCAATCAAGTGATGGATTAGTGAAAATCCTAAAGATTAGGCCAAAATATAAAGAAAGGGCAAAATGGTAATTAGCCAACACGCAACCCTAGGAAGATAAAAATTGAGTAGAAGGTCTCAGATGGTAAAAATAACCCTGAAAATGGGTTCAGAACGAAAAATTGAGTGGATAGGCAAGTTTCAGAAAAATCAGTGAATAGTGTTTTTCGCAGGTAAAAATACCGCGTTACGATTGAACCGTAAAACGTGCCAGTAGAATTTTGAGCTCTAGGTTTCAAATATGAGTTACAAATGGTCTAATGAGTAGGAAATATGATTGTTGATAAAATTTGATGAAAGTAAGTCATTTTGGGGAAACGTGCCAACGGCGCGCGCGATAGCTTAAAAACAGTGTTTTCTCCGAACGGATGGAGGACTCTGAATTCATCTGATCAAGCCTAATTAAAGTGGAATAGTTAATGTTAAAAATTAGAGTTTCTAAATAAGCTTTTAATTTACGGACGTTTAGTGAGAGTTTTGACGCGTTTTGAATCGCGTGAGGTGGCGTGGGACCCACCCCAGTTGAAAGTCACTTAAACATCTCATCACTCCACTATTCATCATCACCCTCACTCTCTTCTCTCTCACCAAACCCGAGTCAGCCCCCCTCCCCCTTCATCACTATGCAAAAATTTCTTCTCACTATTAATCACTCATTTCTCCACCAAATCACTTGATTCTTGTGTTGAAATTTGTTGGGAAGAACCTTCTAAACCCATTGGTACCCTTCTTGAGCCTTGAAATCGCGTGTGGGAGGAGATCCTGCCCATTTTCAGCTGTGACTTGGAGGGGAATTTTGGTGTTCATGGAGCTTTGGAATGCTCCAATGGTGGAGTATGTGTAGGAGGAGTCATTTGCCTTGCATTTGGGTGAGTTATTTCAACATTTCAATGGTTGATTTCTGATTTATGTTTATGAACCCTAAAAGAGGGATTTTATGATGCGTTGTGTTAGAGAGCTCAAATGGAAAATGTCTATTAGATGATAATGCCTTAGAATGATGTATTAATGCTAGAAACACAATAAAAATTTTAGGTGAAATGTGATAATTTTTAACTTAGAATAATTTGATGGTCATGACATGGAATTTTGGAAAAATGTGTTGTGATGTTGATAATGAGTTGTTGTATGATAGAATGATGATATAATGTGATTGGTTGAGTTGAGGAATGGTTGAAAATGGAAGGAAATCCTTTGGGATTCCCTAGGGTATAATTCGGCCATTGTGGGAAAAATTGAGGAATTGATGTTGAAAAATGATTTGGATGATGATTTGTGTAGTTATATGGTGCTTAGATGGGTTGTGTTGTGGTTGGAAAGTGTTTGAATCAATGGGAAAAGTGAATTGTGTTTAGAGACCTAAATGAGCCTAAAGTGAAATATTTCGCAAAACGATGCGTAAATGTCGTAAAACGGAAAAACGGCGATTGAACTAGCCTCTAAACAACCTAAGGGAGTGTTATAAAATAAGAAAGAAAATTTAGAAAAATAAATCCCCAATTAACACCTATATGGCCGAACCTCCAAGGGAAAAATGGCAGATTTTGCGGTTTTCGCGTTCTGATGTAATTCGACGCGAAAATGACGAACCGGCATTTGAATTGGCCTATTGACAACCTTATGAGACGTAACAAAATGAGAAAGAAGATTTAGAAAAATAAATCTCAAAATTACACTTCAATGGCCGAACCATCAAAGGAGGATGGGGAGGATTTTTGTGATTTTGCGTTTTGATGATATTTGACGCGTACTGATGGATGTACGTAATTGTATAGGTTGTCGTACGTTGACTTGAATCCCGAAACTTGAATCTGGGAGCTACCCTTGGTCTTGGACCAAGTGGATTGAGGTATGTATTTAGTTCAATGCATGTATAATTGTAAATTAGCATGTATTGTTAGAATTATAAGAGATTGGGAATGTCCTCTGTGTAGGCATTCTGCTGTGTACCAAGTTGAGGGATAAGCTGCTGCGGAGCTAGTGAGGAAATTACTTAAGGTAACCTCTTGGTACTGGGGCTTGTTCCCCTTTTCTGTTCCACCTTGCCAGTTGATGGCAACGGTAGGAAGTGTGTATGAATAGTATAGAACACATGGGCATGCATGCATTATTGCTATGGGTACTGCGTTACCGAGTCTCTGGCCAGTAGACAGTTTTATTAGCCTTCGGGCAGTTTCGGACTTCCGCTGGATAGGTCTCCAGGAGGGAGTTCCAGTTGACTGCGTGTCATGGTGTGTGATACGGGTAGGAGCACACTAGGAATGTCTTTGGCGTTTTGGTTGGTTTGGGCATCATGGTTGTGGTTTCTGTGAACACACCTTGGATGATACCCATAGGCTTATATATGCTCAGGGCGTACGTGGAATTGGGGTTACCGTCCCGTATCGTCGTAGTTTGTTTCTTTATATTCCCCATTTCTCTAAATCCCTTGCTATATCCCGTTTTCAAAGTGGTTGTTTTATTCTATTGATATGCATCGAAGTGAACCATTGGGTGGAGTTCTCTCCAGAACCTCTTGGTTACTGAGATATATTCGTATATCTCACCCCGTCTCGGGACATTTATTTTAGGAGGTAGCAGTGGAGCAGGAGCAGCGGGCAAGAGGCCCGCAGAGTGAGCAGAGGAGTGCTTCATATTTTGCATTTTGTTGGCCGTGTGGCCTAGTCTAGACTTAGGGCATGAACATCTCATATGTATGTAGTATGAGCTTCATTAGCATATTTGTTCATGCCATTTTGCTAAGTCTAGTAGTTATGTATTTGGTTATGTTGTCATTTGAATTTAAGTTGTAATATTGAGAAGAATGTAAGTTGAAGTTTAAGTTTCAAGTTGTAAGTTGTAAAGCAATATTGTAATCATATTTGACGCATGACTATTTATGATGGAAGGGCCTTAGTCCTATTTTAGGGTATGATTACATGTATGATGAAAATATGCATGAAAAAGGTGTTAGTGATTGCAACTACTTAAGAATGAATAATATGAACTATATGCCTAATGACTGTAAACTGGATTGGGTTGTAAGTGCCCCAAGGCGTTGTTGGTCCTTGTGTGTGCCACCCATTGGATTATTACTGTATTATCATGTGTTTATTAGGTACATTTGAGGTTTAAATGATCGTTTACAATTTTGGGATTATTGGAAAAACAAAGGAAACTCTGGCGAAATTTCTGTAGAATTGACAGATTTTAGGCGAACTTCGGGAGGGCATATCTCCCTTCATTGAGGTCCAATAGGGACGTGCCATACGCCATTTTGAAGGTTGAGATGTCCTCTACCTTTTGTCAAAATTTGAGAAAAATTCTGGGTTGATCTTAGGCCTGAAAATAATGGAGAAACACGGACTGCTCATGTGCCACTGCATCTGGGCAGATTCTGGACCGGATTTGGGAAATTAATTCCCGCTTCGTTTCTCAGTCAAATTAAGCTTGTGATATATCAAAATGAAGCTTGAGATGTCTAGTTTGTAGGATAAAAATTTGAGAGCAAATGGTTGAATGGATTGAGTGCAGTAATTCGAGTAATGTGAGTGGTTTGAAGCTGTTTTTGGGGTTGTTTGGCTAATTGCATATCCAACTTCAAACGGCGTTAACCGGAGCTAATGAACTCCGAATTGAGCATATGATAGCTTGTTGAAAAGTGAATTAAGTAAGACAAAGATATAATCTGAGAAGAGAGTTTGGTTGCGATCGGTTTGGTCGCAGAAAAATTAAGAGTGAATCATGTCCGAATTGGTACAAACGTAAAGTTTGGAAATTGACTAAGTGAGTTTATGGGAACTCCTTAGTAACTTATAATAAGTAATGTGAGTTACAAAAATAGTTTAAATAAGTCTTCCGCAAGAGTTTACGGTTACAGTCACAGCTTTTAATTATTACGCCTTTTTATGTTTTAAATGCTCGCGTAATAATCGGAAAAAGTTTATTCGCATTTTTATAAATGAACTGCTGTGATTGTAACTGCGCTTAATATGATAATTATAATTAATGTTAACAATACCGGTGTACAACAAGCTGTTACAATAACCATACAAAGATGGAAATATATATAAGCATTGGATCGATATAATTGATCTAAGGGTGAGATTGATTGATAGTAACCTTAATCGATTGTTACAATATAAATTTTTTTTATAAAAAGAAAACCAAGTATATGATAAAATAAATGTTTTAAGACCAAAAGTTAACTTCTTTCTTCTTTTTTGTTTTTTTTTGTTTTTTTCATGAATGAACCAAACCCACGAAAAAGTGCGGCCATTTTTTATTCTGCAATTCCCCAATACCCATTGATGGAGGCCCTTCCTAACCTTCACCACCGTCACCAACCCCTATGCTCGTCGATCCACTTCTATTGTCCTTTCCTAACACCATCAACCTCTTCTTCTCTCTTTCTCTCACCACCTTCGTCATCACCGCCATCATCTTCAATTAGAGCTTCATCGTCACCATCACCTCCTTCATCTGACCCTCCTCCGCAAAATCTCCAATACCCAGAAGCCAAAACTCCTCAGTTTTTCAACCCTCTTCCCACAGTTTCCTCCTTTGACCCTCATCAGCAAAGTCTCCAATACCCAGAGGCCAAATATCCTCAATTTTTCGACCCTCTTCGTAAAGTTCCCTCCTTTGCCACAATAACTGCTGCGTCAGCGTTTCTCTTTCTCGGCCTTCTTCGAAATAGGTTTATCAACAAGCCAATAACATCACTGTCCTCAATAGTTTCCATTCAGGAAGCATTGGATGAGAATAGCAGCCTTAATGATTTTCTGGGGTGTAAACCAGATCATGTTCAATCTATTTTGCACTTGAAGCTCAAAGAGAAAGTCCCTGTTGTGCACAGTTTCAATAAAACGAAAACTGATGATGAAGAAGCTTGGCAAGTGTTGAAAGCACAGGTTTTTAGCTGCAGCGAGGAATTGGAGTTGGTCAAGATTGGATTCGAACAGATATTGGAAAAAGACCAGGATTGTAACAAGGCCTATCATGATTGTGTACTCGAGTACCTGGAAATGGTTGATGAATGTAAGAGCTTGTTGAAGGGTATTAAGGTGGCAATGTGTAGATGTGAGAGGGAGAACGCAGATATAAAGCATTGTCTCAGATTCTTCAGCAAGCTTGTTGGTCGTATAAAGGTCATGGAGGGAGATATGGTTGGTGCTTTGAAGCATTTTAAGGAGCTTGAACAAGAGTAAGAAGAATGTGTTCAAAGGCACAGCTCCTGAGCTTCTTCAAATGATTCATTTCTGATAATAATAATATTAATAATAATAATAACCATAAAAGAAATTACTCCGATGTTCACCAAGGTTTTTTTGAGATTTCTTTCCTATTTTTGATTCCGCGTTTATTATGGCTTTTACAAGATCTTTTAATTATGAAATATTGGTTTTTTAGGATGAGAAACTGTACTGAGTAGACATAGGAACAGGACATAAAGCTTGTTGGCTGAAGGAATGAGCTGAATCTCAAGGTCATGTATATATGATTTGGAAATGAATTTGTCATAATTTTTCTAAGAAATTTTAACAAAGATTCTAGCATTTTGTTGCCTTACTCGTATGCACTATTACATGTTCTTTGTTTGGGCTTACTGGTAGAAGATATTAATTCATGCATAAGCTTTTGAGAGTTGAGCTATCCCAAAATTGATCAATTTATCCAATCGTCATTTACGTTGATCTATGTTTTTGTTACTGGTTTGGCTTTAAAATATTGGAATCATGTTTCTGATTTTGAGAAGAGTGGGAAGCAGATTATTCATTGCAGATTATCACGGGGTGATATTTGGGTGATTATATTGTTGCTAGGTAATCCAATTTTACTATGAATAATTGATGATTGAATTTTATTCCTTGTTCAAGATCCTGATGACTGCTATGTGGGGAATTTCTGCAATAGCAACTGAAGTAAAACCTATGCATTTTTCTGGTTTTGTTAACAATAATCATGAGCCTTATTCAGGAAATTTCAAGCCAGAATCAACTTCTATGAAGAAGAATGTGCCTTTCCTCTGGATAATGGCAAGCAAAGGTGAGTATAACAGGGACCATAAAAAACTCTATCCTTTTTAACTGTATCATTGCAACATCTAGAATATGTAATTGCGACATGCCATTGGATGATTTAAACCTTGTAGTCCCTTAGAATGTTGTTTAATAGAGATTTTTGGGATACAATATCTGTTTATTAGTCGCAAATGTTACTTTCACTGAATTTTCCACAGCCAGGCATGGATCTTATGCAGTTTAGGACCATCCAGTTTGCATGAGGTTAGAGTTATTAGTGGCGTACCCTGATTCGCCAGAGTTGGACATGGCTTTTAATGCAATTAGAAGTTCCTCCAGTTTGCGCTATCTCCGTGCCATTTTAGTTTATGAAAATTCAATAGCTCATATTCAGCCGCAACACTTAATCTCTTATGGTAAATTTGACCATTTCAAGACTGTTTCATTATCACTTCTTCAATCTCAACCACTGCCAACCTACTGAACCTCTGTGTGAGGCAATGATGCTGATACTAACTCAAGCTCTCCAAAATTAGATTTTCTTTATTATTTGATCCCAATCTTGTTATTAACTATGTTGATGAGAAGGTTGAGTCAATGATTGAATCGAGACCGGTGAGGTTAGGTATGAGTATATCAATGGGTTTGATTGAATACAAGAATATGTCTGGCTATTTGCTGGCATAGTGAATAAACAATGATAGCGAAGTTGGGGAGGCAACGTGGTTGAAACTTTTGAATGTTTCCTGTGTTCATTAATGAAGATATTCAATCACATTTAGATAATTATTGCTGCATCCAGTTCTGTTATTTATCTATGAATCATTGTAAGTTCTTTTGGATTGATACAATCTCTTAACTCTTTATGATCTCTTGTTAAGATTACTTAATAGTTTTGGAATTTTAGACAGTGAAAGTAAACTCATGCCCACTATTGAGTAGTTTGGACCATTGGCCATGCTTGGGAGTTGCAGGTGAAAGAGAAGTAATGACAATCTTAAAATGCCATCAGATGTAACTAAGGTGGAAAAATAGTAGCTGTAAACTACTTTAATAAACTGGAGGGTTTTGAAATGTGGTAGAGATTTGCCGACCACAGCCTGCTTTGTAGAATTCCTATCGCGGGCTCCTGTTGGGATACAGTGCCAATTTTGTGGCACTAGTGGTGGCGAAGGTACTATAATAAGCAAAAGTGGAATGGTGAAATTTGATTTTGAGATGCTGTGGCTTAATATAAGTGAAATTGCTGGGTAAATCTTCGTTAGCTTGGGTCTTGAGGAGGTAACAACGGTATTTGATGTTTGCCATTGTTTATTGATTTATATGTTTTTTTTTTTTTTTTTGGTAAAAATGGAGGGCCTAGCCCAGAAAAACTATATAGAAAGCTTAAGCATGTTCACAGAAACATGCTCCAACAAAAATTCTTTACAAAGCTCATTCCAAAAAGGAAGAATACTAGTGGGAGGAGAGTGAAAAAACACCAACTCTCCTTCCCTACTAATGAAGCCTAATTTAGCTAAACTGTCAGCACAACAATTCAAATGCCTTGGAATAAATTCCAATTTAATTTGGTCGAAACCTTGGATCTCTTTTAACAGTCTCTGCACCAAGGGGGAGGATGAAATCAGACCAGCCTTAGGATCACAGCAGAGAAGTGCTTCTTTGCTGTCACTGCCTAGCCACACATTTGAGAGCTGTAAATCAACAGCAAGTTTGAGTCCATGAGAGATTGCCCATAATTCTGCTTCCAAACTGGTGTAGGGACCAATGTTGAATGCGAAACCCCCTAGCCAAACTCCACTAGTTGTGCAGATGACTCCACCACAAGCACCAATTCTGGAAAAATTATTGACAGCACCATCAACATAAACTTTGATTCCTTCCATCTCAGCTAGATGATCTGGACCTCCCAGGGCTAAACCAGGCACAAAGCTATCAACTATGAACGGATCAACACCAGTAGTCAGGTTCATTTCCTTCAAGTAGCACAGAATCCTAGATACAGGATCATTTGGCCAGGAGAAAGAAGTGTCATGGACCACAGCATTCCTCCATTGCCAAAGGAACCAAATAGAAACATAAAAAATTTCTTGCCAAGAATTCCAAGCCTTAGAAGAGAAGGGCTTAACAATGTTAAGCCTAAATCAATCAAGTCCTTCTGCAGAAATAAAAGAGTTAGGAATACTTCCTTCAAACCACACCTCCCACACACTCCTAGCACCTTTGCAGTCTCTAAGCAGATGCATCACTGACTCTGGATGAGATAAACAAATAGGGCATAAAATTTCTCCTCCACTCCAATGACAAGTGATACTTCTAACAGGAACCTTATTCAAGCAAGCCAACCATAGGAACACAACAATCCTATAGGGGCCTCTCCATTTCCACAGCTTAGACCAAATCTGATCCTTACTAATGTTGAGTCAAAACTTTGACAGTAGGCATTTCGAACAAGGGATTTGCTTGGGCAACTTCTTCTCCAAACAAGCCAGTTTTCTGCATTAACAGAAGTAGGTGGACAAATATCACGCAGTCTATACAGAGTGGCTTCATCTAGGTACTTCTCCATCAGCTCCCAATTCCAGTCCCCTGATGTTTGGTCAACAAGGTCAAAGACTTTCAAATCAAAGTCTGAATCAGGAGGTTTGGTACTAGCAAGCTTAAACAAGCAATCCTGCCACTCACCCCACCTATCCATCCAAAAGCAAATAGATTTCCCATTACCTAGCATCCAGGTTAAGTTCATAGATAACTTTTCTTTGGCTATACAAATGTTCTTCCACAGGGGAGACTCACTTGTTTTAGCTAAAAACTTTCTTCTTGGATCCTGACTTCTACCATATTTACCAAAAAGAACTTTGGCCCAAAGGCTTTCTTGATCACTTGTGAGCTGCCAAGCAATTTTCTGCATGAAAGCCTCATTTTGGGTTCTGAGGTTGATGATACCAAGTCCTCCACACTCCTTTGGCAGGCACATCTGGTCCCAAGCCACATAACGAGCTCTCCTTTTATCCTCAGAATCACCCCAAATGAAGCAACGCTGGATTTTCTCAATCTCCTTACACACATGATCAGGGAGCATACTATTTTGCATATGGTATACAGGAATTGCAGAAATGACACTCTTGGCTAGAGTAATTCTGCCAGCCAAAGACAAGCATTTGGACTTCCAGCCTTAGAGCCTATTTTGAACTCTAGCAATAACATCTGCATAGTGATCTCTCTTGGCTCTCCCATGCCTCATAAGTGCTCCCAAATAACGACCAACATTCCTAACTTTCTTAAATCCACTGGCCCTAGAAATTAATTCTTCTGCTTCATGTCCAACATTCTTAGAAAAGAAAATGCAGGATTTCTCTAAGCTAACACTCTGGCCAGACATATTAGCAAATTTCTCCAAACAGCCAGTTATACACTCCAATTGACTGATAGAAGCCTCTGCAAAGAGAACAATGTCATCTGCAAAGAGCAAGTGTAAAACATAGGGACCATTTCTGCTAGCTCTAATAGGAAGCCACTTCTTATTCCCCACTTCATCCAAGATCAAATGTGTGAGTTTCTCCATACAGAGAACAAAAAGGTAAGGGGATAGGGGATCCCCTTGCCTTATACCCCTCTGCGAATAAAACCCAGGAGTTCTAGCTCCATTCCACAGCACTTCAAGGTAAGGACTGGTTACACATCCCATAATAGCATCAGTGAAGTCACCAGGCAGCTTCAAGTCTTCCAAAACAGATTTGATAAACCTCCAATCAAGCTTATCATAAGCTTTCTCCAAATCAATCTTCATAGAGAAGAAACTTTTCTTTCCATTCATCCTGTGCATAGCATGGATAAGTTCCTGAACTATGATAATATTATCCTGAATGTGTCTTTTAGGGACAAAACTAACCTGATTAGGTGAAATGAGGTCACCTAGGAGAGGTTTTAATTTATTTGCCAGAATATTACTCAAACCTTTGTAGATAGAATTGCATAGAGCAATAGGTCTAAACTGTTTCATCGAACAGGGCCTATCTACCTTAGGAATGAGGGCAATCAGAGTGTGATTAATCTCCCTTATCTAATCTGGATGTTGCAGATAAAACTTCATACAACCAATAATCTGATGTCTTAGCAACCCCCAATTTTTATGAAAAAACAAGGCAGGAAAACCATCTGGCCCTGGAGCTCTCAAAGAAGGCATTTGGAAAAAGGCCTCCTTGATCTCCTCATCAGTAACCTCTAAGGATAGAAGCAACTTCTGGTCCAAACTAATAACAGGCCAAGTGGAACAGGTTTGAAACCAGCTTGGCATAGACCTCTCCTCCTTGAACAGATTCTGAAAGTAGTCTCTGGCTAACTCAATCAGATCTTCCTCACCAGTCACCCAACCTCCACAATTATTTTGAAGCTTAATGACCTTTTTTTTTTCTCCTACGGATTAAAGTACTTGTGTGATAGAAACGGGTATTCCTATCTCCATCCTTGATCCAGTCACCCCTTGACTTCTGAAACCAGATTTGCTCTTCATGATCCAGGATCTCAGCTAGCTCTTTTCTCAATTTGCCCTCCAGGTCTTCTAAGTGACTATGCCCTGTAGAGTTAGACAGCCTTTGAATACCCTCCAGCCTAGCAGTCACCATATTTCTCCTATGCTCAATGAAACCAAACACTTCCCTGTTCCAAACCTTCACCTGAGGAATAAGAGATTGCAGACTATCTTGAAGTTTAGAAATAGAATGCCAGTTAGAATTTAGAAATAGGCTAAACCTTGGATCCTTCTGCCAAGCAGCAAGAAACCTGAAGGGTCTCTCCCTCCAAGCTGATTCAACTATCTCCAATCGGATTAACACAGGACAATGATCTGAGAACATCCTAGGAAGTGTCACCACATCAGCTAGATCAAAACAATTTCTCCACAGCTCATTAGCAACAACACGATCCAGCCTTTTAAAAATCCTTTTCAAGTGAAGAAACTTGGGCCCTTTCCATGTAAACCTGTTACCTCCTCCCCCTAAATCCATAACACCACATGAGTTCAACACATTGTTAAATCTGTTACACCTTCTAAGATCAACTGGAGCACCTCCTCTTTTTTCAGAAGCAGACGCTATCTCATTAAAATCACCTGACAACATCCAGGGATCATTCATGTTCCTACCAAGGTGTTTCAAATCTTCCCAAAGAAAAAACCTCCTATCCTCTTTTGGACTAGCATACACAGCAGTCCAATAAAGACCTCTCTTATCTGGAAATTCCACCCAAACATGAACAAACTGATCATCTTTCCTAATCAAAGAAATATGTACATCCAAAGAATCCCATAAGATCCATATGCCTCCAGCAAAGCCTTTAGCATCAGAGATAATATAATTAGTAAAGCCAAGCCTCCTAATTATATTAACAGCCTTATAACCACTCACCCTTGGCTCCAAAATAGCAGCCACTCCAGCCCCATATTTTTTCCTAAACCTGTTAAAGGTGCTCTTGAACTTGTTATTTACAGCACTTCTACAATTCCAAGTCAAAATATTCATAAGGATAGGTTAGGATGATGCAAGA